ACTAGAGCTACCTGATAATAGAGAGTTACAGTAATCCAGCCTAGAGGTAACAAAAGCGTGGACCAATTTTTCTGCATCTTTTCGGGTCAGGATAGGCCTAATTTTCACAATGTTACGCAGATGAGAAAATGCAGTCCGTGAGGTTTGTTTTAAATGAGAATTAAAAGACAAATTTTGATCAAATGTTACTCTGAGGTTTCTTACAGTAGTGCTAGAGGCCAGAGCAATGCCATCTAGAGAAACTATGTCATCAGATAAAGAGTCTCTGAGTTGTTTGGGGCCAAGAACAATAACTTCAGTTTTGTCTGAATTTAACATCAGGAAATTGGTGCTCATCCAGGTTTTTATATCTTTAAAGCAATTATGAAGTTTAGTTAAAGGACAACTTTGGTATTTTTCAACCTGGGCTCTATTTCCCCATGTGTTTGTGTGTGTATGATTCATGGGTACCACTCGTTCTAAAATTGGTTCCGTATTGAGGCGCAAAACAAGCTAAAACAGTAACGGGGGCAAATGCATCCCGTATAAAAGTGCTTTTTTTCGCCACTGACCGGTTCAGATCACCAGTGCTATCTCTGTAGATAGCATATGGTAGCAGCCCTGGGGCAGTGGTGAATGTGAATGAGTGGAGTCAGCTGTCAGTCAGTAATAGAGCAGAAAGGAGGAAGAAGACCCCGCTTGGTAATGTAAATGAGTATGTGTGTGTGAAGTGTGTGTTACGCTAGAAGAGTCAGAGGACGGAGTCTTTTACGTGCTACCCCCTGGAGTGTTACCGGAGTTTCTGGAGTGCTCAAATAAATGGGCCTTTTTTCCCGAACGCAAGAACAGGATGTTGCGCAACACCCTGTACAGCTTTCATAGGCTGCCTTTGTCGGACGGCGAGATGCTGAAGTTGTGGCTAGTTGTGCTACAAATGGATGCTAACACTCCTGTCCAGACACTGCGCCTTGCAGACCATCGGGTCTGTAGTGTTCACTTCTCCCAAGATGACTACTGCCAGCCGAAGAAGAGAAGACATCCAATCCCGAAACACCTCTTCCTCAAGAAAACGGCTGTCCCACGAGTAGAGAGAGCTACAGACACAGTGGAGCAAAGCTCGTGACATCACACAGCCCAGAGGTAAGAGAAAGGCTAGCATGCTATTTACAGAGATAACACTAGTGTTCTGAACTGGTCAGTGGCGAAAAAACACACACCTCATACACACATACTCACTTACAGTACCGAGCGGGGCCGCCCTCCCCCTCTCTGCTCCAACACTGACTGACAGCTGACTCCACTCATTCACAGTCACCACTGCCCCAGGGCCGCTACCATATGCTATCTACAGAGATAGCACTGGCGATCTGAACTGGTCAGTGGCGAAAAAAAGCACTTTTTGCCCCGTTACCATTTTAGCTCATTTCGCGGCTCAATACTGAACCAATTTTAGAACGAGTGGTACCCATGAATCATACGCACACATACACATGGGGAAATAGAGCCCAGGTTGAAAAATACAGGAGTTGTCCTTTAATTGATTACTTTCTTCTGGCTTCATAGATAAATACAACTGTGTATCATCCGCATAACAATGGAAATTGTAAATAGGATTGGTCCGAGCACAGAACCTTGCGGAACTCCAAAACAAACTTTAGTACGTAAGGATGATTCATTATGAATCAAACTGAAAACAATCAGATAAATAAGATTTAAACCAGCTTAGTGCAGAACCTTTTAGGCCAATTACGTGTTCCAGTCTCTGCAGCAGAATTTGATGGTCAAGTGGGCAATACTGGTCTATACCCATCTATACTCATTTATACCCTCAATACCCATCTTTACCCAACATTCAGTGTACTCTGTGCAGTGTTACTCTGATGTGTTGTGTTTGTGGTCATCAGGGAATGGGTGGTCGACAGGCGATTGTCAGAGAAACTAAACCAGTGAATTCTCGGCGTTACGTTGCGAGCTTTGATGTGGAGAACACGACCAAGGGAGACTCCGGACGCTATCGCTGCATTGCCCAATCAGAGAGAGGTGTGGGCGTGTCCTCCTACGCTGACCTCACAGTGAAACGTGAGTCCTGTCTTCTCATTTGCCGCTGACCCCTGTAATGTTTATATGTATTTTATTGTTTTCTTTTTATTCTTAGATTTAGGTTTATTTATTTTTTATTTTGTCGTGATGTTTCCGCTCTCTGTTTTAATGACATCACTTTTCATTTGATTTAGAAATTTAAAACATTTTGATTAATCTATAAAACTGCTTCTGAACATGTTGAAGATCTCATTTGTTCCATAGTGTGACCTCCGCAGAGGACACCTGTCTCCACCCGTCTCCACCCGTCTCTGTGTCTCCACATCTGTCTCTGTGTCAACACTTGTCTCTCTGTCTTGACCTGTCTCCACTTGCTCTCTGTCTCCACCTGTCTGTCTCTCTGTCTCTTCCCGTCTTGACCTGTCTGTCTCTCTGTCTCCACCTGTCTTGACCTGTCTGTCTCTCTGTCTCCACCTGTCTTGACCTGTCTGTCTCTCTGTCTCCACCTGTCTTGACCTGTCTGTCTCTCTGTCTCCACCTGTCTTGACCTGTCTGTCTCTCTGTCTCCACCTGTCTTGACCTGTCTGTCTCTCTGTCTCCACCTGTCTTGACCTGTCTGTCTCTCTGTCTCCACCTGTCTTGACCTGTCTGTCTCTCTGTCTCCACCTGTCTTGACCTGTCTGTCTCTCTGTCTCCACCTGTCTTGACCTGTCTGTCTCTCTGTCTCCACCTGTCTTGACCTGTCTGTCTCTCTGTCTCCACCTGTCTTGACCTGTCTGTCTCTCTGTCTCCACCTGTCTTGACCTGTCTGTCTCTCTGTCTCCACCTGTCTTGACCTGTCTGTCTCTCTGTCTCCACCTGTCTTGACCTGTCTGTCTCTCTGTCTCCACCTGTCTTGACCTGTCTGTCTCTCTGTCTCCACCTGTCTTGACCTGTCTGTCTCTCTGTCTCCACCTGTCTTGACCTGTCTGTCTCTCTGTCTCCACCTGTCTTGACCTGTCTGTCTCTCTGTCTCCACCTGTCTTGACCTGTCTGTCTCTCTGTCTCCACCTGTCTTGACCTGTCTGTCTCTCTGTCTCCACCTGTCTTGACCTGTCTGTCTCTCTGTCTCCACCTGTCTTGACCTGTCTGTCTCTCTGTCTCCACCTGTCTTGACCTGTCTGTCTCTCTGTCTCCACCCGTCTTGACCTGTCTGTCTCTCTGTCTCCACCTGTCTTGACCTGTCTGTCTCTCTGTCTCCACCCGTCTTGACCTGTCTGTCTCTCTGTCTCCACCTGTCTTGACCTGTCTGTCTCTCTGTCTCCACCCGTCATGACCTGTCTGTCCCTCTGTCTCCACCCGTCATGACCTGCTGGTCTCTCTGTCTCTACCCGTCTTGACCTGTCTGTCTCTCTGTCTCCACCTGTCTTGACCTGTCTGTCTCTCTGTCTCCACCCGTCTTGACCTGTCTGTCTCTCTGTCTCCACCTGTCTTGACCTGTCTGTCTCTCTGTCTCCACCCGTCTTGACCTGTCTGCCTGTCAAGACAGGTGGAGACAGAGTCTCACCTGTCTGTCACCTGTCTGTCTCTGTGTCTCCAACCGTCTTGACCTGTCTGTCTCTGTGTCTCCACCTGTCTGTCTCTGTGTCTCCACCTGTCTCTGTCCTTTAAAGCTGCAGTTTGTTACATTTTTATTTTAATGACTCCGTCGTCAAACTAGGAAGTTTTATTAAAGCTGCACACCTCATTACTGCACCGCGTGTGTGTTACAGTAAGTGTGTGTGTGTGTGTGTGTGTGTGTGTGTGTGTGTGTGTGTGTGAGCCTCATTAGAACCTCCGGTTGTGTAAAAAAGGAGAATCATCGGCGGCGTTTTGTCAAAGAGTGTCTGCGTTTGTGAAGATGAATCACTCCAAAGTAAAAGCCTCCGTTTCCTCCTGTCAGAGTGTTAGCGCGCTAACCCCAGCCACTAACACGCACACACGTGCACGTACACACACGCGCGTGCACACACACACACACACATACACACACACACAGACGCAGGTGCAGAGCGCGTTAATGACGACTCATTATGTGACAGAGCTGTCACTCGTCTCAGAAACATCACTTTCATCTGCGCCTGTTCAGGGAGGATTCTGGGTATTTTCCTTTCCCATCATGCCGATGTGTTGGAGGGGACGGGAGGAACAAAAGTGAAGATCATTATAGAAATTCCTCGTCTCCACGTCTCAACATCACCATCAATACTGATAGTGTATTGATTATTGGCCCAGTAGCAGAGTATAGATTGAATTACTGTCTAACTGATCAGTTTGATCTGGAATCATTTATCTTAGATTCTTATAATCTTCTACACTGAGCTGTACTCAGTCTTCAGGTTTCAGCAGTGGTGGAACGACAATTACTCAAGTCCAGATCCCAGGTAACTGTAATTTACTCGAGTACTTTTTATTTTATTTTCTATTAATTTGTTTATTTTTAAAAATGGGACAGAACATATCAATGAACATTAACAATGTAAATGTTTAAGAGATTGTAGCCAAGCGGCTAATTTCCATCCCTTGTCCCATTGGCAGGTAGGTGTTCAGGGTAAGTTTTCATGCCACATTATACTTTTACTGCATCTCAGAGGCAAATATTATACTGTTTATCATTTATGCAGTATGTACTGAATGCAAAGTTACAAACTGAATGCATAATTACATACTGAACGCATGGTTACGTATTGAAAATGCAAAGTTATGTACCGAACGCAAAATTACATACTGAACGCATAGTTACGTACCGAACGCAAAGTTACATACTGAACGCAGAGTTACGTATTGAAAACGCAAAGTTACATACGGAACGTAAAATTACATACTGAACGCATAGTTATGTACTGAACACAAAGTTACATACTGAATGCAAACTTACATATTGAAAATGCAAAGTTACGTACTGAACGCAAAGTAACATACTGAAAGCATAGTTACGTACTGAATGCAAAGATACATATTGAAAATGCAAAGTTACGTATTGAAAACGCAAAGTTACATACTGAACGCAAAATTACATACTGAACACATAGTTACGTACTGAACACAAAGTTACATACTGAATGCAAAGTTACGTATTGAAAAAGCAAAGTTACGTACTGAACGCAAAGTAACATACTGAAAGCATAGTTACGTACTGAATGCAAAGTTACTTATTGAAAATGCAAAGTTACGTATTGAAAACGCAAAGTTACATACTGAACGCAAAATAAACATACTGAAAGCAAAATTACATACTGAACACAATGTTACGTATTGAAAACACAAAGTTACATACTGAACACATAGTTACGTACTGAACACAAAGTTACAAACTAAATGCAAAGTTACGTACTGAAAGCAAGGTTACGTACTGAACACAAAGTTATGTACTGAATGCAAAGTTAAGTACTAAACCCAAAGTTACATACTGAATGCAAAGTTACGTAGTAAACACAAAATTACATACTGAACGCAAAGTTATGTTTTAAACGCAAAGTTATGTATTGAAAGCAAAGTTACGTACTGAATGCAAAGTTACGTACCTAACCCAAAGTGACATTCGTTTTACAAAGGTATATACTTAACGAGAAGTTACGCACTTAACATGTTACATTCTTAATGCAAAGTTACATTTTTTATACGAAGTATGTACATAATACAAGTTTGTTTTTTTTTTACAAAGTAAAGTAAAGTTCCATACTAAGTACCTAATACTTACCTACTTAACCTGAGTTACGTGGTTAGGAAAGTAAAGTTATGTACTTAACATAGAGTTACATAGTTTAGGTTCAGGTAAGTAAAGTCACATACTTAACGTAGAGTTACGTAGGTTAGGTTTAGGAAAGTATAGTTATGTACTTAACATAGAGTTACATAGGTTAAGTTTAGGATAGTAAAGTTAGATACTTAACGTAGAGTTATGTAGGTTAGGTGTAGGAATGTCTAGAAATGTACTTAACGTAGAGTTACATAGGTTAAGTTTAGGATAGTAAAGTTACATACTTAACGTAGAGTTACATAGTAAGGTTTAGGATAGTAAAGTTACATACTTAGCATAGAATTATGTAGTTAGGATTGCGAAAGTAAAGATACGTACTAACTGTAAAGTTACGTAGGTTAGGTTTAGGATAGTAACCCAACAGGACTCTTTAAGTGTCCTCTTCCTCTTTTCCTCTTAGCACATTGGTCACATGGTTGCAGCCTTTATGATTACGTGGGTTATATACGCATCCTGGGTGTGTTATGTTCCGTAGGTAAAGGTACTAACGGTACATGATAACAGTCTGTGTAATATGAGCAGTGAGACTGTGTAGTCTTGCCACCAGACAATCAGAGATCTCCGCATTCTGATAGTCTGGGGACACTCCTTTCTAAAGTGTGTTTAACACACCGGCGAAAACGGCCAGCAACAAAGCAACGCCTCTTGCATTTTTGAAAAGGACACGCCGTCCTGGAAATGTGCGCTCCCCCTTTTCTCGTCCGCAAGGAAACAAACACACAGAGAGCTTGAAAATGGATGCCGAGAGATTTAACTCCGTTTTATCAAACCTGTGCTCATCCGTGAAGAAAATATTTTTTCCAGTGGATGTCTTAGTTACAACATGATTGAGCTAACTGGAGTAGTTTCATGTCGTATCCGACAACAGGAGGCTTTTAACAGATGACGTCCTGATGTTAGCTTTGCTGCTAGTGTTAGCTGTCCCTGTCAGCTGCAGCCACTGATGCTTTCTAGACATCGTGATTTCCCAAAACTGAATAAATACCACACATAGCAACACAAAACTGCTTTGCTAGCTCAATCATGTTGTAACTAAGATATCCGCTGGAAAAGATATTTTTTTCACGGACCGTTTAATGAGTTATTACCTATTACAGACACCGCTAACGGCTAACAGGGCTAACAGCTAACGGTTAGCCCAGCTAAACGTGCACACAGAAATAGTAATGTTTGTTCAATCATTGTGTTTATAGACTTTACAAACATCGGATTAGTCCAAACGGTGATACAGTGATGTGAAAAATGTGATATATAGGCTATATATATAGCTAAAAGCTCTGCTGGTTTTCTACCCGGAAGTATTTGTAAACAAGGCGTTTCCCTCTATAGTCCGGCCGGACAGATGAGTCATGGCCTTGTAAAAGATTATGTTTGTTTCTTTTAGTTGGCGAGAATGTGTCGCCGCAAACGCGACAAACATCCACTAACTTTGACGGCGTTTTCTGCGAGCACGGCTGAGCCATTTTGTACCGCTACACGTGTTTCTAGTGGGACTATGTTTACAAGCACAAGAGTTCAGCGAGCCACCGAAGGACCGCCCTGCAGATTTACTATTGGTTCTGCAACGTAGGGAGTTTTTTTAAACTCTGAAATTGTATCCGCCCATCTAAACACAAAATCAGGGAGAAAGACATCAGTCTTTAGTTAAGCAAAGCGTCTAAAGACTGACTTGTGAGTCTAGACTGTGTGAGGTCCTCTGTTGATGCAGTGCTGTGCGTCACTTCCTATTGGTGCTGACTTGATGTCATGTGACATGCGCCGGCGTTGCGGCAGCACTGTGTTTTAAGTTTCCTTATTGTGATCATAAAAACAGCTGACAGAAATGTTCCGTCAGTCCTCAGCAGGAGGATTGTGTCTGTCTTTGTTCTAAACACATGTAAACAAACAGATCATGTTGGATGGTTCCCGCGGTAACTGCGAACCGAGGTTCCCTTAAACTGGGTCCTGTTGGTTGGAGAGGAAACACATCACAGTCTGACTGACATCACTCATAACAGAACCAATCGATGCGCTCCGGTGTCTGTGTCGGGTCGATAGCTCCTCTGATCTCTCTGCAAACACACACTCAGTGACAGGTGAGGAGGTGTCTGTCAGTCACATGACCCGGCACGTATCCCACAATCCCCGGCGGCTAAACCACTGATTGAACTGTCACTCAAACTGTGTGTGTGTGTTTTATCTCACACACACAGGTGAGTATTAACCTCAACATGTTACATGATAAACAAGCTTCATTACACGCCTATCCTACTTTGTGTGTGTGTGTGTGTGTGTGTGTGTGTGTGTGTGTGTGATGAAGTGGGTCAGGAGGAAGTAGAGCAGCACCACCGGGGATTCTGGGTAATAGAATCCAGGTCTGCCGTGATTTGCCGAAGGTCACAAATAATAATTAACTTGTTAACTCCTTCCTCCCTCGTTAAGACAGATCAGTGAAACCCAATGTGTGTGTGTGTGTGTGTGTGTGTGTGTGTGTGTGTGTGTGTGTGTGTTCCTCAGAGCCTCCTGTACCCATCGCCCCCCCTCAGCTGATGGCGGTGGGCGCCACCTACCTCTGGATCCAACTCAACGCCAACTCCATCAATGGAGATGGACCGATCATTGAGAGAGAGGTGACTCCTGATGAAACAGTGATCTGATGCTGGTCTATGATGACGTTCTAGCAATGTGTGAGGAGGTTTCTGGTGGCCTCCTGTAGGAGGTTCTAGATGTCTTTGAGGGGGTTCTCGTGCTTCTCAGACAGGTTCTAGTGGTCCTATAGGGATTGTAGGGATATGTTAGGGGGTTCTAGTAGTCCCTTTGGAGGCTGTAGGTGTCTGTGAAAAGATTCAAGTTGTTCTTTAGATGGTTCTTAAGGTCTTTGAGGGGTTTCTTGGGGTCTATGAGGAGATTCTAGTGGTATTTTAGGGGTTGTAGGAATCTGTCAGGAGGTTCTAGTGGTCCTTCTCTAGGGTTTTCTAGTTCCAGGGTTCCTTGAGGAGGTTGCAGTAGTAGGAGTCTCTGAGGGGTTCTCGTGGTCCTTAAGGAATTGCAAGGGTCTGTTAGGGGGTTCTAGTGGGTTCTTATGGTGGGTGTAGGGATTTGTGAGGGGTTTCTAATGGTCCTTAAGGTGACTGTGGGAATCTCTCAGGGGTTCTAGTGGTCCTTTATGGGGGTCTACGGTTCTGTAAGGTGGTTCTAGTGGTCCTCGAGGGGGTTGTAGCGATCTGTGAGGGAGTTCTAGAGGTCTGTGAGGGGGCCGTATTGGTCTTTAAGAGGGTTCTAAAGGTCTGTGAGGGGTTGCAGGATCTGTGTGGAGGTTCTAGGGAGTGCCAATAACAGTTGATCATGTGTTTTTGAGGTGGAGTACCGTACGATGTCGGGCATGTTGATTGACACCACACCTGTCGATAAACCCACCCACAAGATCGGACACCTGGACCCCGATACCGAGTACGAGATCAGCGTGCTGCTGACCAGGCCCCTGGATGGAGGCACGGGAAACCCCGGACCCCCCCTCAGAGCCAGGACCAAGTGTGCAGGTGAGTCAGGTCACATGATCCAAACCTGATGATGACTGTTTAAAATGTCCCTGTACTCCAATGACTGCTAGCAGCTAGCGGCTAACTCTCAGGCTACACTCACACTGAGCTCATTAGGAGGTTAATGGTGGAGTCATTAGCATAGTGTGCAGTGCTAGGCTGCATTAGCACTGAGCTCATCGGGTGGCTAATGGTTAACGGTGAGGTCATTAAGGCAGTGAGCCGGGCTAGGCTTCGTTAGCACCTCGCTCATTAGCTCTTAATGGCTACAGTGTACACATCAGCATAGCATGCTAACTGTTTACCTCATCCATCTCCTGAGTGAACACACACACGCACACACACACACACGCACACACACACACACACACACACACACACACACACACCTGCAGCAGTGTGTGTGTGTGTGTGTGTGTGTGTGTGTGTGTGTGCCCTTTGGGTGTAAACTCACAAACAGCATGTGATTAGCAATTAGTGCTCTAATTACACAGGTGCGTTAATGTGGCTGCTGCTGTAGTTTTTCCTTCGCTGTTCATCTGTTTGCTTTTTGTTGATAAAGGTGGAGACATTTTATTTCCTGGTTCTCATATAATTTCAGATCCTTTTCACAGATTTGTGATTCTAGTTTGACCTTTGTTTAGTTTTCATCAGGCTCACAGCTCAGAACATGAACATGTTCCACATACACACAAATACTAATGATCATGATTCTAGAGGTCCTTGTAAAGGTTCCTGAGGTCCTTGATGAGGTCTGAAACCTCCTCTATGAAGTTTAAAAGTTGTTGGTGTTCTAGAGGTCCCTGATTAAATCTTAGAGGTCCTTGAATATGCTTCAGAGGTCCTTGGTGTATTTTGTGAAGTCCTTGATGGAGTTCGCAAGATGCATAATGAGGATAGTTGTGTAATAAGCAATAATAATAATAATAATGATAATAATAATAATAATGATAATAATAATAAGAAATACAGAAAAAAATAAGAAACAGAAAATGAAAATATTCAACACGATGACAGTTTGTTTTTTAAAAACTCTTCCTGCTCCATCGACACTGTTCTGTCATCACATTGTAAATCATTATTTTTTTATGATACTAAATCTAATAAATCTGAGCAGGATTCAGTTTTTACAGAGAATTATTATAGATTTAATAATAATATGGAAATAAAGGAAAATTTCCACCCAAACAGGAAGTCCGATAAGAACCACTGAATTATTCTCCATGTTGAATATGTAGGAACGCTCCTTTGCTCATGCAGCGTTCTGCAGATCTCAGGTCTGTTATTAGAGGAGGAAATAACTGTGTCAGGTTTCAACACGTCCGCCTCTCAGACCTGCTGCTACATGACTGATGTCAACAGCTCGCAGGGCTGTGACCTGTCTCTGGTATGCCCCCCCCCCGCCCCCCCAGCACACAGATTCATATCACACAACAACTGCAGCAGGGACCCTTCAATCAGAGGCATGACAGTTCTGCAGCTTCTAATGGCTCCTCATGAGCTTCTGACTTTATCTGGATTATTTCTGACAGTTGGATCAATAAGCTCAGGCACAAATGACCAATCACATAACTCCTGTGAGACTCAGAAAATACAAGAGTTCAAGAGTTGCTTGGTGAGGTTCTAGAGAAGTGTGTTGATGCTTTATGGACCTGTGAGGAGGGTCTCGGGGTGTTTGCTGTCATTCTTCAGGTTTTTGATGTTCTTAGGTTCCTTGATAAGAGTATTGTGTTCCTTCAGGATGTTGTAATGATGGATGGTTCTAGATCAGGAACCAACATCAGAGTGTCAGTCTGATTGTTCCTTTGTTGTCACCTCCGCCCCTCTGGGACTGTCAGCAGATTAAAACAAATGCTCCTCTGGGATCAACAGCAGGAAACATGGAAAGAAATGTGTGTGTGACTGACAGCCAGCAGAGCACACACACACACACTCTCTCAGTGTGATGATGATGATGATGATGTTCTCTGTGATAACACTCACATTTATTTATTCATTTTACTTCTAATAAATTATAAACCAGCTTCTGTTTGTGTGTGTGTGTGTGTGTGTGTGTGTGTGTGTGTGTGTGTGTTCAATAATAAATCAGCGTGTCCATCAGACAAGCTTTAGGACTTAGAGCTCAGTGAGGCGACTCAGCGTGGCAGCAGATAAACAGGAAGTCACTGTGAGCTGCTTCATGTTTCATCATTTCATTTTGTGCTTTTATATCTGATGATGTCATCACGACCAAAGTTATGATATGATTATTAATGACTGTGGAGCAGATGAAAGGGTGAGTCTTTGTTTTCCTGAACAGACGATGACCAGTTGAACTAAGAAGGTTCAGACATCAGAATATGGTCGAGTTTATTGTTATGACATCATTTAATATTTGTTTTGGAGACAATGGTATTAATATGTTTTAAAGGTGTGTGGTGTGATTTAAGAGAATATGAAGGTCTGGTCACACACAGCGAGGTCGTGAAAGATACAAACGTGTGTGTGTGTGTGTGTGTGTGTTAACATCCATTAAAGTGTGTTTGTCCAGCCTTTTATAAAATATCGGATGAATATTTCACTCTTTTCTCTCTTTTCACCTCAGATTTTTACGCTCTGCTCGTCCGCCAAACCGTCCACTTCTTTTTTTTACTGTCTGACGTTCTGTGGAGCTTTTAGTGATGGAAACTGTGGCTGCTGGTTTCAGACGCTGCTCCTTCTTCTGTCTGCGTGTTACAGTTAACGCACTGAAAACGCTGTGACTCAGGTTCGATCGTGCGATGAGACGTGCTGCTTCGTAGTGAATTCATCTGAAGGTCAACAACGAATAAAACAACCTGTGAACGCAGCTCAGAAAAGGCAGCACGCCTCAGCTTTACATCCTTCAAACTTGTTTCCACACTGCTCTGACTTTTTCAAGAGACTTATTTTTTCATAGTATCGACCCTCTGACTGTCAGTAAACAGTGTGATGTTTGTTGGTGGGCGGGGCTTAGCTGGAGGCAAAACAGTTCTCCACAGACATTAGCTAGCGCTAGCTAACAAGTTGTGTTGTCTTGTTTCAGACGATGGAGGAAGATGATGTGAGTGGTGCGTTCAGAAACACTCAATATGAGTGTGGGAGCGCACTCTGACACAAACTGGAGCGTTGATAAATTGGGAGCGCTGTCTGAATGTAGCGTTGGGTTATCCAGAGCAGCGCACTCTCAGAGTGGCAGAGCGCACTCTGGACACTCTGTCTGTGGAGACGGAGCAGCAGAGCGCCGAGCGGAGTGAATGATGTGTGATTAACTTAACCGTTGGTTCATTCATGTAGAAATATAACGCTGCGTTTCTTCCACCAACAGGGCTCTCATTTTAGTGTAGTTTCAAGTCAGTCAGACTTATTGTGTGAGGGGCGTGGCCTTTCTAAAATATAGCGCCCCCACCAGGCTGTCATATTTATTAAACAACTGTCGGCGAAAACTTTGCTTGTCGACGATCTGTCTGAAAACAACAGACTTGAAGCTCTAAACATAACGTCCGTCTCCAGAACAGTGGAACAGGGGAACCGTGATATTAAAGGAACAGTTCAGCTTAATAAATGAAGTAGTGATCACGAGTTCTGCCTCTGCACTTTGGATCCAGATTCTGATCAGAGTCTGTTTCTGTTCTGGTCGGCCGACATGAATCATCCATCACTGGTTCTCGTGCCTCCCCCTCCTCCTTCATCATTCCTCCCCCTTTCTCGCTCCCTCATATTAAATCTGGTGATCTCCTGGAAATGAAAAATTAAACCTCTCCTCCTCCTCCTCCTCCTCCTCCTTGTCTTCATCCTAGAGTCACCTTCAAACATTCGACACTCTTCTGTCTGTGTCTGTAATGTATTCTTCTTCTTCTGCAATGTTTGTTTGTCTGTTATCAGCTCCCAGCAGCCTGCGTCAGGCTCCGCCCCCTGCTGTCCTGTCAAACATCCCATAATCCAAAATGTCTGAAAACACTGGAAATCGACTCTTGGTTGTTTCTGTTGAACAAAGTGAAATGTAGCAGATGTCAGCAGCGACAGGAGATCTCCTCTCTCAGGCGTTTCTTTAGTTTAAAGCATCAAATTAGAAAAACTGAAAAAAGTTTTCTCGCTCAGTTGGAAGGTTTTGTGATTCTGATGTCACAAACATTTCAGTCACATGACTGATCCTACATCTCAACAACATTTTAATCTTATTTTTCTGACATTTTATCTTTTTTTTCTAAGACATTTTATAAACGTTATTCAGATATTTTAATATTTTTCTCAGACATTTTGTTGAAACATTTTTCAGACATTTTAATAATTTTACTGACATTTTTTTGACATTTCATCAACATTTTTTATTTTCATAATATATGTTGGACACTTTATTAAGATTTTTCAGACATTTTGATAATATAATAATTGTTGTAGATTGCTACTGATTCTTTTAACCGAAAAGAAAAGAAAAGACAGATAGACAGACAGACAGACGCACAGACAGACAGACAGACAGTCTCTGCCTTTAAACAGTAAATATTGCAGAACATGATGTTCAAACAGAAACAGCTGCAGCGATCAGTTGATCAGTCAATCGACAGCATTAATCAGGAGCTCTTCTGATAACTGATTCAATGTTTCAACACTTTGTGGCGTCGTGTTTCATCACTGTGGGAATCTGATGTTTTTTACTTCAGACGTGATGAACTGAAGAGTGCTGGCCTCTGAGGAGCCACCCAGCTGTCAGGTTTCACTCTTCTCTGAGATTTTACTGACTAAAACCAATCGTGGACAAAATTATTGGCAGATTCATTGATAATGGAAATAATCGTTAGCTGCAGTTACGGGAGATTAATATGGAACCCTACTGAACGTAACCATGTGTGTGTGTGTTGGCTAAACGTAACCATGTGTGTGTGTTGGCTAAACGTAACCGTGTGTGTGTGTTGGCTAAACGTAACCATGTGTGTGTGTTGGCTAAACGTAACCATGTGTGTGTGTTGGCTAAACGTAACCAAGTGTGTGTGTTGGCTAAA